AAGAAATATGATGTATTGTCTGGTGATTGAGTACAAGTCCAACCAATCATTTCATTAAAGGGTTACGATAAGAAGCAATGATTTTGTGTTATGGCAGCTTTAATTTTTCAACCGGTTTTTTAATTTTATTGCATTGATCCAAAAAAAAATAATTTTTTTGTAAAAAGTAGACTAGCATTATTTACTGAATAAGATATGTTATTTTAAAATAAAACTTTTGATAGAGAGCTGTTGCAGGCCCACCATATAATATCACCCAACCATCTTAACTTTCACTAACAGAGTTACTACCATCTATATTATATAATAATTCCAACTAGGTTTTTAGATTTCTTCACAAATGGTGGTTTGATCAGCCCTGCATTTATTTTGTGCATTTCGATTTTTTGTATTAATTGTTCACCTATTGTAAAGACCAATGCAGATACCATTTGAGCCCAGACTACAGAAAGTTCTAGTACCAGTACTGTGATGGTGATGGATCCACAAGTGAATAGGTTTATCTCTGTATATATAAGTAGCTGATAAAACATTTATTACAAGTGTGATATGAGATGAAAATAGTCTACACGTGGGATACAAGATGAAGCATGAACATAATATGAAATGTAAATTTTATTTTTTACTTCCTATTAACAGGTGCAATATATTTTCAAATTTTTTATTGTGATACTTGATTCAACCTGATATTTTACGTATTAGTCTTTCCATCTTTACAACATTGCAGAACTCAACGGGTTTGTCTCCAGATTCTGAAAGGGTTAAAGACCAAAATTGAAGAAAAAAACGTTAAAGTGGGCATTATGTCTAAAATTTAGATGGACACAATATAATCCATTTAATCTTATTTAAGAATGATTTCTTTGGAGGTTGCAACCCTCCAAATCATCCAAAATATTTTGTTTAACTTAACTTCTTTGTCATCAAACTTAAATTATATGTTTTAGTGTGTCTCAAGATGAAAAAGTTTGAAAATCACAGGCTTCCCCCATAGGAATGTGACTTTGTGAACTTGTATTGTGTATCTCTGAGTCATGTATACAACTAAAAGTGAAGTGTTCACAAATGAAAGATCTTTTTCAGAGAGAAAAAATGCATGAATAAATGTGTTTATGTCAGACAGTGCAATGACTTCAAACATTTGCCCACTTGAATCCTTTTGTTAGCAAAGGGTTGTGACATGAGGGTGCACTTGCCTATGTTCACCAACAATCATTTATCATTCCTGGTGTGGTATCCATGAGCCACAAAAACAGATGTTACAGTAACATTCCCATATTATCTATTGTGCTGTAGTCTTGAGAAAATGTTACAGCATGAAATCCATTGTATAATGAACAGGCTAAGATAGTTTTATCATGAAATAAATTGTCACATTAGCATGCTGTCATGAGACAGAGAATCACATTTCATCAATAGATTAAATCTCATTTATTGAAGATAATCCTGGCTTTCCCCTATCTTTATACATCTTATACAAGCCAGATAAAAAAAAAAGTATATTGTAATGAACATAACTTAAACAGAGCTTAAAAATCTTACACTTGACACATTTTTTATGTACTAGTGTTTGTCTTGGAATGTGTTCTGCATATGTGTGCTTAATGTTCTAAATCTTGGACTAGAGGCCCAGCACATAAACATTATGTCTTCTTCCGTAATCTGTCGGTATAATTTAAAATGGTTTAGAAATTAGCTAAACATGAGGGAAACAGGAAATACTTCAGTCATATAAAATATAAGTTGGTCATTGCTCTGTATATAATAATGTGACAAATTATGCTTGTGATCTGTATCATGTCTTGTAAAATTAGGATCAGTCTTTGTTGCATGTGTCACATAAAATTAGGAGCCAGTCTCTGTTACATGTCACATAAAATTAGGACCCAGTTTCTGTAACTGTCTAGTAATAAATAGGGGAATGATACATTTGCTAAAAATATTTTTTTTTTAAAGTAAATTATTTTTCTTCCTATTATGAAAACTTCTGCAAATATTAAAACAATAGTGTGCTCTGGTGTTAACAGGTTAATTCTATATTTAGTAGCAGCATTAGTTGTTACCAGGTAATGGACAGTCTGTCAATCTACTTGATATCTAAACATGCTGCCATGTTGTAACACAAAACATTGGTCTTTATGTTGGAAAGATCTGCTTTACCGAATTAATTCTTGCTCTACACACAATGCTCTTACGTTCAACTTGTCTTGTCTACTCCAACTCTGTGACACAAATTTTGTTGCATCCTCTACTTGGAACACTGTACATATAGCCATGTGTATATTTGCCTGTACAGCGCCTGATCATTGGCTAGCTCCCCTACTTCTTCTACTTATTGATTAGATCAAGTGAACTTATGGTTGTGGTGTGGTGTATTTTACACTTCTGAATATTTCTTTGTTACATTTTTTCCAAACCATTTATTAATAAATGTGAAAGCTTGTGTAATTTTTTTTAAAACAATATTTTTGAAAATTTCCAAACATTAGTGCTACTCAAAATTCAGATATAACAGCGTTTGATGTCCTGAAGTTACTTAATATTAAAAAAAAAAACTACAACAAATACTAACAGAAGGCTACAAGTAGCAGTATTAGATCGTTTGAGAATGGCTTGGAGTTCCTATGTAGCGTTATTAATAAATGTCCCGATTTCATTGAGTAGTTGTATTTGTTACTAGCGTTCTGTTTCTAGTGACTGTCAATTCAGTAAACCTCTTGAGGATTACATGAGTCTATGTTTGGTCAAGTTTGAATTCACTTAATTTGTAACCTTATTATTATGCAACAATAATGGACCATTGTGCAATATTTTTCATTTATTTTATACTCACTTGATCAGCTCCAGAGTATTACAGAACAGTGAGGTGAGAATTCAATTCAACAGGAGAATCCAGATTATATTGATTAAAACAACTTAGTATGAAAATGTTTTATTAGTACTATTTTTTTCTCTCTGAATGTTAATGTTAGTTACAGTTGTATCATAATCCTTTGAGCCCATAAACCAAATGTCAGGATTTTTTTTTCTTTTATTCCTTCAGCTTTCTACCCAAATGTGACACTGTCTTTTAATACTTTGAGGTTGAATTAGGATTAAAGGTGTCATTTCATAAACCTGAAATCGTGGTTGACTTCTTTTCTTTAATAAATATTTGACATGTGTTCCTATTATTTCGTATTTTGTCTTTTGGGTGCTGGGTGGCAGAGGTGTCTAAACTGAGTCAATCCCAAATTAGTGGACTGGAGTTCAATCCCCAGGAAATGCGTAGACAAGCAAAAAAGTCACCAGCACCCCTGGTGGATGAAACTTATTAATCCTTGATGGCAATTCATCTAAGAGAAGGCAAACTCTGATATCAAACCTGAAAATGGGAGTCCAGTAGGCGTTATAAGGCTGACGAATTGAGCAATTCTCCCTAACTGTAAACAAAATTCATCTCAAGTCAAGGCTAATACTCGGGTGGTAAATTGCCTTGGTCATCTTCAAGTGCGAAGGATGGACAGCACTTAGTCTGTTGTACAAGTTAAATTTGATTAAACATGTGCTGTGAATATTGTATGGTCTACTGGTAGGCCAGTTACTTAGGCCAGCTGACATCAGTGACACTTGGTTTAAAGTTGTGGGCATTGGAAGCATGGTATTATAAGATTCCTCCATCCCCAAAAATACCCTGTAATCTGAATCTGAAAGTGTAACTGCTGTGGCATCTGAGGAAAAGCCCAGAAAATTAAACCCTACTCCAGAATAATGATGTGGATGTGGCTCACTTGCAAGAATTTAGATTGTAGAAGGGGCTTAACAGGAAGTTGTTCAAATCTTAATAGAAACTAAGCAAGGATAATAAAGTAAATAGCCAAAGAATATTGATGACAAGGTTAATAGGAAATGACAACGTTTCAGAATATAACTATAAAATTATAATAAAATTGGAATTCAAGATTAGTAGAAAGAAAGCACTTGCTTAAATACCAAAACCCATATGGTGACACAAACAATTGAATTAATTTATTTTCATTCCTCTCACTGAGTGTTTGTTTATGTGACCAAGATAACTGTTACCTCCTACTTGAGGTTTGACAAGTTAAAATAAAAATCCTACAAATATCTTCACTATTTAATAATGATTCGTTTTTTATGACAAAAAGACTTTTTAACTGCAATTGTATACATTACACCTATGAACTCTTCAACGATAATGTTTGGTTACGTAAAATGAACAAAAATATGTCTGCAATAGCTTTGTAGGGGTTTTCTTTGAATAGTCCTGTCTCCAGAACAAATAAGCTCTGTTCATATCTAGTGGTATACCACTAGAGGAGCTAGTTTCACTATGAGCTAAACCCTGGATTAAGGCCACCTACAACAATTGACTGCATTTTTGAAAGTGAAAATAGCAAAGAGGTCATCAGGAAAAACTCAATGGACCAGGTTTGCCCCAGTATGAAGAAATGGGGACAATGCAACAAACAGGCGTATAATAACGCATAATTCTCAGCAGATCTGCTTGGAGCATGTATTTCCTGTCTTATGTTCACGTTAAGCTGTCAATTTTTAACAAATCCCATGTTTTCTTGTGACGACTGGTTCATTTGGAGCTAGGGGAAGAATTTAACAGCTGCAAAAGTCCATTTCCGATTCTCAAATGGAAGAGACATAATAAAGCATCAGATTATCTTGTCAATCAACAGGATAAAGACCCAACATACCTGGGAGTGGAATTGGACCAGATGGTTTAGATAATCATGTCTTGGAACGTGACACCAAAAACTCAAACCTGGTGAAAAAAACTGGCCTGAACAGAATGGACTATTGAAAGCTCTCTATCTGGATAGTGGTAAGATGTGCTACGGACTACAACATACTAGTTCAATATTTAGCAAGTAAAACTGCATTGAAAAGACTGGAGCTGAATGAGAACCCCAGCTGCAGCCACTATTATAGAGATGAATGTCACATAACTGTCTAATTTATACAGTTAAAAAGGAATAAAACAATCACCAAAGAGATTTCTGGGCAACATTAAAATGATATTTATTCTACTAAAATGACCTAAATGAGAACCCTAGTTATTTCAATAAATCTGTATTTCTTTTGGATGTATTGAAAAATAACAAGGCATCATGAAAGCTTATAAATTCAAACATGAATTTAATCAGTCAAACTTATGACAAACTTCAATAAGCATGTTTTTCTTTAATAAAAACGTTTCAAACATTCTGAACAATAAAATAATCCATTCAGTCAACTTACAATTCAAGTCCGCTTACTCTCATTGCAAAAAGAAATAAACTTTCATCAGGCAGGATTTTTTAATATTTTTTTTTCATTGTCTCCCTTTAGGTAAAATAATACATGAAAATACCTGTAGTGAATTTGTTGTAATTATAGGTCAAGCTATCTTAAAACTGAAATGATTGACAAATTTATGGCTTCCAAAGTTTAAGTAGACCATCCTCAGAATATGTGGCAATGAGATTTTGATGAGGATGATGGGATATTCCAATGACATCTTTGTCATGCACCTAAAAGGTTAAAAATGAAATAATGACCAATTTTAAGAGTTTGCAAACTGTCTACACAATTAGTCAAAATTTTATTATATATTTAATAGTTCATTGATCACATAATACACATTATATCTTGGTCAACATACCATTTAATGGTCTTTGCATTGGTCATTATATATCCTTGATAGTCTATGTATTGGTCATCAAAATAATTGTGTGATCCATTTACCACCAACTATAAACTGTTAATGTTTTAATTGATATTATGTTGACCAATAATATTTGGTATTAAGTTCCCTCTGTCTCATTTCAGCCCAAATATTACTTTTTATACATCAATGTGTAAACAGCGTATCAGGCAACTGCAATTGGGTGTTGGTCGGGATAAATTGGTTAAAGCAGTGACAGGCTGCTGTCATTTATTTGGCTGTTTTCGCAGAAAACCTATTAATCACAAATTAAAGTGTTATCAAAGGAAACCCATAAATGACCAATTGGGCTGTTGTCACTAATTCTTACCGTCAAAGTCCTTTCTAGTTTTCCAGTTCCAACACTGAAGCAGTACAACACCATATCCTCCCCTACACAGTAGATCCATTCACCACGAGGTGACAAAGTAGCACACACAAAGTCTCCCCCCTCTCTCTTACCACTTGAAAAACTACGAACAATCTGAAAGTACATAAAACTAATTTAAAATATTTATCTTGTAAGTGTAAATTCCAATAGTGATTGCATAGTATATCTGTGAACATACACTATTCATAGCTATTTTATGTACACTGTTTCTAGCTAAGTTAAGAAGCTTTGATGAAGGATGACTACAGATAGAAAAAAAACCAACCTGTCCTTGAAAGTTCATAATGACGACAGTGTTTGATCTGTTACAAACCACGAACTGCTCAGCATTACGAGGTAAGACGTGAATACTGTGCACGGTGGTATCAGCCCCTGACACACCTCCCAGAGACTTGAATGTGTTCTGACACTCTGTTGTTTTCACACTCCACACTTTAATTGTCCCGTCAGAACTGGCACTGAAATATCAAACCTTTTACCATTTTCACAAATTTCTATTGTGCCAGAGCGAAAGTATCTCTTTCAAAAAAACATCCCAATTGATCAAAATAAATTATTGTTTCTAATCAACTTTAAGTCAGACCACTGACAGAGAGAATAACAATTTAAGTAGTTACACACCTGAGAATGTGGTGACCATCCTGAGAGAAAACTGCATCATTAACAAAAGATGAGTGGCCTCGGAATTCTTTTAATGTCTTTCCCGATTTCATTCCATGGATTCTAAAAGAAAAAAAACAGAATTTAAGTCAATAAACTTTTTTTTTAAAATCCCTGATGACAAAAGTTCCTTAAACGTCAAAAATCACTATTTAAAAAATATTCTTTACAAAAATGTATTACAAACTTTATACTATTATTATTTTTTTTTTTAATTATATTTGTTAATAAAAATTTGTGGATTAAAACTATAAAGTAATTAAAATAATGCTAGATTTCTTTTGAAACCTTCTGAAATTATATACCCTACCTGATAGTTTGATCAAATGAAGCACTAAGCAGTTGACTGTTATCTCGAGCAAAATTGACACAAGTTACTCCTTTGCCATGAGCTTTGTCAAATTTCCTCAGACATTGGCCTGTTAAAATCTTCCAAACCTAAGGCAATAAAAATATAGAAAAAATAATAATTATTATATATTACAGTGATAGTCCGTACATAATAATGCATCGTCTGTCTGACACAACCTGCAAAATGGATAATGAACTCTGGATAAATGGGTTCAAATGAAAATACTCATATCAATATATTCTTGTGAAGCTTCATTTTAGCAATTTTAAAACTATAAAAGTTAAAATATTACAACACCCTTTCTAGCAAACTAGGAATTTTCAAAATTTGCTTTAGCAGAAACTATGACATGATTTATTTTTTCAGATTTTAAAGTCTGTTGATTGTTTGTTTCAATCACTGCTCATCTGTTGAATTATAGTTGAACAAAAATACAGAATGCAATCACATTTCAAACTTTTACCATTCTTTTTCAATTTCATACATGCAGCCAGGCCTCACCTTAATTTTACCATCCTGCGCTCCAGTAGCTAACATTTCTGAATCACGACTGAAACTCATGCATAAAATGGCTTCATCCATCATCATGAAGTTTTCCTGTATATGGCGAGTAAAAATATCTAATGATTCATACAAACATTAACACTTGAATAATAGCTAATAATGAAACAAAGTTTATACATACATTTTTTTAAAAAAGCAATCTTTCTTACAAGTTACTTTGAAACAGAGATTAAACCATCAAGTAAACTATGCCTCATATTTGAAAGTATTTCCCACTTGATTTCCATATTGTTAGCTACCCATGACATAAAGCTCTAGTGAAAGCTCTAGTGCTTCAACATTAAAAAGCATTAAGTAATCGAATATATTTGATTACCTGTGCTTGATATCTCAAGTCTTTTCTTATTTTTCCTGTTGTGAAATTCCAGACCTCAACAAAGCCATCCACTGAACCGGTGACCAGGTATTGACCATCTGGAGAAAATCTGGCACACTCTACATGGGCCTTTTGGCCAAACTAGGGAGAGAATAGATTTGATGACTATTAATATTATTAATGCGCCATAAGATGAAAGTCTTGGCTTAGCTAATTTTTGTAACTTGTCTGAATAGGGGGCTGGAGTGCTTTTTTAAACGTAAAATGATATAAAATAAATGATAATAAAAAATTTTTTTTATATAATACCTTAATTTGTTTGCTCATTTGTGTTGGATATTTCTCCTCCTCTTGCTCCTTGACAGCTGCTTTACCTCTGAACACATCGATGGTAGTGCCTGATGAACAGATCAGAAAAAGAAATTGTAACACACTTCTACTCTGACATGGCGTGGGATGTTATTTCTTATGCTGTGGGTTATGTCAGTAGTATGGTTACTTATATTAACGCTTCAGGATGCCGACTCAGTCTTCTTCATTCTTTCACTTATTATTCAGGCACGTAAAGAAGAATGCTCAATTCTAGTTAAAACTCACAGTACTTTATTGAACACACTTTATATTGATAATATTAATAAATAATCCTTGCATGAATGTAATTTCACATATATATCTATAGTATTCCATCATTAAGAAAGACACGTCCTCAGACTACTATAACTCAGCTCAACTGTCTAATCTCACAGCTCTCACGCTACTGACTGACTCTACTGCTCTGCGCTCAGCTCTCTACTATCTCAGTCAACTCATACTTTATTACCAGCAAAGCGTGCAAAACAACCGCTCTGACAAAAACATAATTTTACTCTCCAAAAACGTGGAGTTCACATTTGTTCTCAAAAATACAATCCACATTGATTGTCTCTCCCCGTGGAAAAACCTGGTGAACACACTCACTGTCCACTCATGCTACCTCTCTGTTTACATGTGAAAACATAGTCCGTTACATGCCCCACCCATCTGAAAAAATTTTGTGCAACAAAATTTTTGGCATTATATGTTGAAATAATGATAATGTCTCTTAGAAAATTTCAATGCCACATCTAACAATCAAATCAGTGTAACAACATTAACATTTCATCATTATGAAATACAGGGTCTTTTACTGTTAATATCACACTTAATAGTGAATAATGTACCCTGGCAAAAAATTAAAAAATCACCAATGACAACCTCTTAAAATCTTTATGTATGATAATGTGAAGTGACATTAACATCTTAATGAATAATAAACACTGCAAAATGAATGTAACAATCTTAAATTTTGCATTAGAAAATTTACAATCGGTTAAAATATGATATTCATTTACAAAAATTGATATGTACAAGTGTCTTATCAAAAAACTGAGTGAACGTATGTGTGTATATTCATTTAGAATGTCTGACTAATGTGTCTTAAGTCAGTGTCTTTGTCATTGTCTGCATGTTCAATGTGTCTGGAAAGGAAATCAGCTACTGTATTGTCTTTTCCTTTTATTGTCCTTATCTCATACTGATAATCTAATAGTATCAACGACCATCTGTTTATTTTACTATTCGCTATTTTCTTTCTATTCAGTGCCATTAATGGCTTGTGATCAGTCAATAATGTAAATTTTCTGCCTAATAGATATTTCTGTAGTTTGGTAAGTGCCCACACAATTGCTAAGCATTCTTTTTCAATGGTTGAGTAGTTAATTTCAGTTCTGCTTAATGCTCTACTTAAATAGGTAATGGGTCTTAATTTATGATTGTATTCTTGCATAAGGCAAGCTCCTAATCCAATGTTGGAGGCGTCTGTAACTAGAGTGAAAGACTGTTTAAAATTGGGTGATAACAATATGTTGTCACTTTGGAAAATTTCTTTGATTGTTCTCAGTGTATTTTCGCATTCATCCGTCCATACTATTTGTTTCTTGCTATCTTTATTTATTAGTTTCCTTAAGGGTAGTGTAACATCAGAAAATTTTGGAACAAAAGTGCTGTAAAAATTGCACAAACCTAAAATGGCTTTTACTTCTTTCTGAGTGTGTGGTGTTTTTATATTTAGTATTTTTCCTCTGTTGTGTTCTGTGGGCTGAATTGTGTTTTTACCGACTTTAAATCCTAAAAATTCAATGTCCTCTTGTGCAAACTTTAATTTGTTTGGTGCTATTGTAACTCCATGTGCTCTTAATTTGTTTAGTACTGTTTTTATAGTCTCTAAATGTGTCTTCATATCCTTAGTGTGAATGCAGATGTCATCGACAAAATGTACGACATTTGGTATGCCTTCTAGCATGATTCGCATGAATCGAGAAAATGTTGCGGTGGAATTAACTAGACCAAATGGCATTACTGTCCATTCGAACAAGCCTTCCTCTGTGGCAAATGCTGTCAAAGGCATGGAATCAGGATGCATGCCTATTTGCCAGAATCCTCTGTTTAAATCTAAGTGGGTGAATAATGTGGAGGAGCCTATTTCTTCCAGTAGTCCTCGGGTGTCCCTCATGGGTTCTGCATCTAATTGTGTGATTTTATTTAACTCCCTATAGTCACAACATATACGGCACTGGCCATTTTTCTTTTTTACTACTACCATGGGTGATGCTATTGGTGAATCTGATCTTTTAATCTTGTTGGTCTGTATTAAATGATTTAGTTCTTTCTTTACTTCTTCCCTAAATGCATATGGAATTGGATAGATTTTGTATTTGTCCATTATTGTTTGGCAACCATACCAAAACTTTATCATGTACTTTAAGATCTCTGAGGTATCTATGTGTATTCTTTATATGTCTTTGTCTTTTAGACTCCCTATCAGTGTTTTCTTTAGCATTTTCTATGCCATATGTAATTCTCTCTCTGATTTTTGTAATTATGTCAAATGTGTCTTGTTGTGTGCCTTTCTGGCCTAAAATGTTTTCTTTAAAAAGAGTTAACGGTCCCTTTGGATTGGCCCCAAACATTAGCTCAAATGGAGAGTACCCAGTGGTGTCTTGTATACTCTCTCTATAGGCGAATAAAACCATGGGTATATATAGGTGCCATTCTCTAGGGTTGTCTATTGTTGTTTTGTTTAACATAGTTTTTAGTGTCTTATTCCATCTTTCTACCATACCATTAGCCTGTGGTCTATATATTGTGGAATGTACTTGTATTATACCTAGCATTTTTGTAACTGCATTGGTTAAGTTGGAAGTAAACTGTGTTCCATTATCTGACAATATTTTATCAGGGAACCCATGTCTTGTAAATACATCTAATAATGCCATGCAAATTGTTTCTGAATTAATGTTTTTGAGGGGAATTGCCTCTGGCCATCTAGATGCCATATCAATCATGGTTAAAATAAATTTGTGTCCCTTATTTGATGGTGGATTAAGAGGACCAATGATATCTATAGCTACCTTCTCAAAGTTTCTACCTATTTTGTCTGTGGGTTGTATGGGTGCTCTGTGTTTACTGTGTATTGGGTTTTTTGTCAGACATGGTATGCATTTGTTTATGTGTTTCTTTATGTCCTTGTGTATGCCTGGCCAATAAAAATTCTGTGTGACCCTTTCTAATGTTTTTTTTATACCCATGTGTCCAGCCAAAGGACTGTCATGTGCATGGTTGAGTATTTTGTTTCTGAGTATTAATGGTACTATTATTTGAGATTTTTTGATTTCACCTTTCTCAAAATTTCTGATTAGAATATTATGTTTTATTGTGTAATTATGTCCTCTATAAATTGTGTTATTGTCCTTAATTTTGTTTTTAATGTCCTGAATTTGCCTATCTTCTGTCTGCATTCTAATTATGTCCTCTCTAGATATTTGTTTTGGAATGTCTAATTTTTCTTCTATTTCAGGCTGTGTCTGACTAGTTTTATGTTGTTGTCTTGTTATTGCACTTATATACTCTTTGGTTAAATTTTTTGATTCAATCCAATTTAAGAATAGTTCTTGGGAATTATCTGGAATTTCTTTAATATTTCCAATTATTAACTGACATACTGGGTTGTCCATAAGTACTGCCGTTACCTTTCCTGTCAACCATGGACAGTCTATGTCCACTACTGCTTTATAACATTCAACTTTTGTGTTATTTGCTAACATGACTGTGGTTTTTTCAGATATATGGTCTTTAGGGTCAATCAATTTTTTGTCAACTACTATTGTTGTACAACCTGTGTCTCTTAGACACTGAACAAGCTGGTTGTTTACATAAGAAGGAAAAAATTGTAAACTTCCTTCACTGTGACATGCGCTAGCTAAAGTTTCATGTGGTTTGGTGTTTTGTCTACTGTTAGTCTGATTGGAATTATATCTTTGATTTTTATATGGTTGTCTACTCCTATTTGCACTGTTGTATCTAATTGGACTACTGTTGGGTGATGTTCTCTGATAGTATTGTTGTGAATGTCCTAAATCTCTATGTAATTTCCTACACTCATATTTTTTGTGACCTGGAATGCCACAGTAGAAACATTTGTTGTTGTTTGAATAATTAGTATATGGTGTCTGGTAATTGTTTTGATGACTTTTCTGAAATTTATTGTTTTGCCATCTGGCAGGTAGGCTGTGGTATCTTCTGTTTTGATATGTGTTTTGTTTTTGACTGTCCCTATCACTGGGTGTGTTTCTAATAGAGGCTAGTGTGCTGTTTCTATTGTCTAGCTCTTCATTGGGGTGAGCATCTTTAAATGTTGTGATTGAGTCAACTAACTCACGCTCATTTTTAATCTTTCTCTCTTTAAGGAATGAAAATAAAGAGACTGATGCATTTCTTAATATTTTGTCTATGATAAACATATCCAGTAATGCTTTTGGATCATTTAGGTCAATTTCAGTTAATTCAAGCCATTTGACAAGATTGTCTCTAATATTGAATATGGTGGTGTTAGGATCTACTTCTCTCTCTAGTCTTATGTTATGGAAATTTTTTCTATAAATGTCTTCTGTGTTTCCATAGAACTTTAACAAAACTTTCTTTATATAGGTATAATTATTCTTTTGTTCTTCACTAAGTGAATTAATAATGCTTAGGCTTTTCCCTGATAATCTGCTCAATAAAATATTAGCCCAAGTCTCTTCTCTATAATTGTAAGACTGACATATGCCTTCAAATTGTGACAGATAACTAATAATTTCTTCTTTATGTTCATTAAATTCTCTAAATTTAGGTTTGTATGCACTGTTGGTTTCCCTATTGCTTGTTGATGTAGTATGCTGTCCTGATTCTATCCTAGCTCTTTCTAGTTTTAGCTCTTCCTCTCTTATTTTCATATCTTGTTCCCTTAATTTAAGTTCTTCTATTTCCTTTTGTCCTTTTAATTTTAGTTCTTCTATTTGTTTAAGGTCGCTTCTCTCTAACAGTCTAGCTTCTCGGTCTTTGTCTTTGTCTTGTCGGTCTTTGTCTTCTTTCTGTCTGTCCCTAATTTTGTCCATCTCACGAGTTACGAAGTCAGCTAATTTCTCCTGCTTTAAGCCAAGCTTCTCACCTACTTCTAATAATTCTAAGTACTCTGCCATTTTTATTTGTAATGTGAGTAACTAAAATTATATTGTTATGTATCAGTATATCAGTTATCTCCTTATTCTTTGGTTATCAATTAAAATAGTTTACGATATTTCATATATCTACATGTTAATGAATGTATACACAAATGCAAGTTGATACATGAATTATAAGTTATAAATAAGTGTAAGAAAAATTTAAAATAATTAAATTGTCTACTTCACAACATAAATACAGATATGTAGACGTTTACATGAATACAAATGAGACAACAAATACAAAAGTACTGTTTAGTTTATGGACCACAAGATAGTAGAAAATATGACAGTAGGTTGACAATATGTATAACAATGACAAGACAAATAGCACAAATATGACAAGATCTACTAAAAAACAACAGTTATGACAATGTACAAACTAGACTTCACAGCTAACACAAAATTATCCTACAGTGTTATAAATAGGGCCAGAAGAAACCTTTACCGTTTTAATAAAAAAACTTCCCTAGGAAAGATAACACCGTGGATGTCCCTACAGTATACTCTAAAATTAAACTTATATTATACAGAAAAAGTAAAAAATTTACTTAATCTAATTAAGTATGATATAAGTAGATTTTTAAAGTCTTAAATTATATATAATACATAACACATAAATACATAAATACCAAGTGTTTAAAAGAAATCCGTAGTTGGTCACCTCTGCTCCTCTGTGACGCTCTGATTTCTGTGTAATCGATAATCCTATGTAGTAGATGCTCCTTCTAGGTAGTAGATAATCCTATGTGGTAGTGTACTTGGGTAAAATAATCCAATGAGAAAAGTTACACCACAAATTGCTGCAATACTCCAATGTAAGTACCTTGCGTAATAGTGTAATTGTGATAATCCAATAATTGAAAATTGTCTAATTTCTCTCCGGTTCTGTTGCACTTGTGAGTAATTGAAGAATTACTTGAAGAATTACTTGACTTGAACTGTGCGGCTTGTATAAAGTAAAGATTATGCTGGGGAAATCTTACTTCCGCTGTCTTGATAAAACATCTCATCTGTAATGACATCAGACTTCTTTTGGTTTTGTGTGGATCATCTCTTTCGTTGACTAATAACTGTAAAATAGATTTCTTGCTGTTTCTTCCACGAGAATATTCACTCCACTGTTATATAATTGAAACAGTGTACCAGTTAGCTGTTTGCACTCTGAACTTTTGACTCCCGTGACTGACCTAAATTCAATCGTTGTCAGCTTGCTCTGTGTGTCGTGGACTCTTCTCAGATTTGACTCATACACGGGCGTAATGACGTTCGATGTATGCTTCACTCGACTGTTAAAATATATCGTTGTTACTCAATGTTCTGTAATACATCGTTGTTCTGACACTTCTGACAATATTTGTAACGCATCGTCGTTACACCGCTTCTGACACCATTTGTAACACACTTCTACTCTGACATGGCGTGGGATGTTATTTCTTATGCTGTGGGTTATGTCAGTAGTATGGTTACTTATATTAACGCTTCAGGATGCCGACTCAGTCTTCTTCATTCTTTCACTTATTATTCAGGCACGTAAAGAAGAATACTCAATTCTAGTTAAAACTCACAGTACTTTATTGAACACACTTTATATTGATAATATTAATAAATAATCCTTGCATGAATGTAATTTCACATATATATCTATAGTATTCCATCATTAAGAAAGACACGTCCTCAGACTACTATAACTCAGCTCAACTGTCTAATCTCCCAGCTCTCACGCTAATGACTGACTCTACTGCTCTACTGCTCTACGCTCAGCTCTCTAATATCTCAGTCAACTCATACTTCATTACCAGCAAAGCGTGCAAAACAACCGCTCTGACAAAAACATAATTTTACTCTCCAAAAACGTGGAGTTCACATTTGTTCTCATAAATACAATCCACATTGATTGTCTCTCCCCGTGGAAAAACCTGGTGAACACACTCACTGTCCACTCATGCTACCTCTCTGTTTACATGTGAAAACATAGTCCGTTACAGAAATATTCCTATCATTCAGTGTCAGGGGTATAATACCATGTCCCTTTCTGTTCAGGCTTCTAAGCTTCGTTTTACACTACCAGTATTTATTTTTCTGAAGTTATTTTAGATATTGAAATTCATATTGTTTGTATATCAGTAAGTCTGTAAGCAAGTTCTTTTACTGATTATTATAATGTATCTACTTAAGCTAATGTTCAACGTCGTCAGCAAGTGAAATTAGTAAAATAAAACTGACAAATACCTGGAGGAAGAAGTCCCTGATGTTGCTGCCATTTAAGAGACTGTCCAAGCAGAGCAAGTAATCTTGAGGGTGGCACCACATTGACTTCACCAGCCAGTGCCTGGGCTATGGCCGCCCTTCTCTTTTCCTTAGTTTGTCCTTCAGGGTAGGCCTACAAAGGAAACATTTACAACAAATAGCATTTCATATCTCTTAATTTCACCCTTAAAAATGATTTTGGTATTCATAAATTTGAAATTATATTTAAAATTCATATAACTGTTTCAATAGTATTCAATTCAAATTATTGTAATAAACATTAATTATTGTATTATTATATTTAACACAGAGCTCATTTAGTTTTGAAAAATAAATATTGAAAACTGTGTGTTTTTAATCTTCTAAATTATAAAATTATATTATTTCTCTTAAAATGACAATTACCTCACGAGGATCAAAGTAAGACCTTGCTAACATATTTTCAAGATGAATATATCTATCGGGCTGACTGTGTTTCATCATAATCATGGGGTCTGTCTGGCGAAGAAGGGAACGAGCTGCCCCAAGTTCTCTGAGTTCAATGAGCTCCAGCACAATCTGAAAGGTACTTGACATGAATATTTACTAAACAAAAGCATAAAAGTAATAGCTTTTTTATTGAGTTATTTAAAAATTGATGTACAAACTTAATTACCCTAGCAATGGATTACAAAATTTGTCTCAGAATAATGAAAAACAAGTCCTACCTGTCCATAGAGATCTACTAATGTATTATCAGGCAGCTTGAGTGTTTGAATAGCTTGAAGGACACTATCCCAGTGACCAGCAGTAATATCTGAGATAAAGCTATCTACAGACTCTACAGTGTTAAGCGAAATCCCACTTTCCTCCTGAAAATTATGATATTCTTTAGAGTTTATTGTTTAAATACCTAAAAGTAACAGGTATTAAAAAATCTATTAGACTTAAAAATAATTCATAGTGTGTAAAACATGGATTTGTGCACTTAATTATAAAATATTACATTTTAATTTGGAACTAGTCAATGAAGTTCTTTAATTTCATTCAGTAACAATATTTAGAAGATACAACAATATTTATATTGTTTGTGGTTTGCTAAGCTTTATTTTGTAAAGGTTTATTATTTGTCATGCTGGTGACATTTAAGATATAAATTCTATTATACATTACCTGTAGACATGCAAGGGTTCTAAGCAAATTATTTTCCTTCAGATATTGCTCAATAAGTCGCACGACACTGAAAATTAGCACACAAAAAAACTTAAGTGGCACGTTATCAATTTAAAAATTATTTGTTTAATTTAGGTGATAATACAATTAGAGGATTGCCAAAACTTGTCAGATCAGCTAAAACTTTAAAACTAATTTTTCTTGTTTGTTACTGCAATGAAAAAAAAAAGAAGATATACAATTTGAAAGCATCGTTAAGTACTGACTAAGCCTAATTAAAATAAAAGGTTCACTAGTCATTTGTCGATGATTTTATAACTTTTAATGTATTCATTAATTGTTTGTATAAAGATATTTGTTTGTGTGCTGCTGTTTTGGGTATTTTTTTTAAAGCATGGCACAATTTCATAGACAATAATGTGTTAATTATAGACTCACTCTGCAGATTCAATTTCGACAGCCATTTTGTTAAAAAGTAAACATGGATTGGAAGTATGTTATGATAATATTGAAAAACACGACAATACCTTAAAATAAATTTTGATAAAAATATATTATTTAAATAAAATTAATAATAATAAGATATTTTGGAATTGCCAAATACTAATAAAAAGTGAAAAAGTGAAAACAAAAAGTCTACAAGTCAATAGACCAACAATTCGCTATTTAAATTGGCTGCATCTATAGGTACCCGGGTACCTATAATGGCAAATAGCTATTCGCCCCCAAAGTGGCTCCGTACAGAATAAATGGCTTCGGAGCTGGGTGTGATAACAATAATAGTATGAGAATTGTTTTTTCTCCTTGTTATTTCATAGCTTCATAGTTTTATTATTTTTAGTTGTTTTTTTTTTTATTTTTGCTTTGTTAATTTCTCTTAGGACGGGTAGATTTGATTTTTTCTTATTTTCCTTTTTAGTTTAAGCCATTTTCGTGGATTATTTATTTTTTTAAATCTAGTAATGAAGATGATTTAGATACATTTATTGTTTTCATTTGAATGTTAGAAAAGTAATAATATTAATTTAATTATTATTTAAATTAAATCCTTTATTTAAGATTATTTTTTGTGTATTGTTTAAGTTAAAAGATTTAATCACACAGTACTTCATGAATGCATAGGTATTCTAAATAATGAAAATTTCATTCATAATGAATTAATTTCAACTATTCCTCTAGAGAGCTTTGCTTAGTCAAAACAAAACCACCAATTTTAAACTTTTTCCTTGGCACTGGGAGTCATACATGCGGACACTGACTGTTTTTCCTGATATCTCGAATCTCCTTTCAACAACTTTTCTCATTTGACTTGACCTAATTCACAAGGTAGTTGCAATGAACATCTTAAAGTTAAAGGATGCCATTGTATAAAGCATGAGAAAGAGACTTATTTTTGGA